ATTTTGTGGGGGGCCTTGGTTGTATTGCTTCCATCCCGTGTTTTGTTGGGGCTTCCAACTTTGATTGTGGGATTGGGAGTATTGTTCATTCCTTTGCCCAATTGCCGCCGCTTGCTCTTGATTCATTGAGTTGCAATAAGAGGACAAGTGATCATTTCCTCCACAAGTCTCACAAGACATGACTTACGAGGAAGAGCTTGAGGGTGTGAGGGTGGCTTGATCTAGATTGTGAGCTAGCATATCAAACTTTGATGCAATAAGATCTATTGCACTAAGATCATGAATTCCGCCCTTCTTTGTTTGAGGTTGCCTTCTATCACCTCCATATTCATAATGCTTGGCCACTTCTTTAATCATCTTGTATGCATCGTCCACCGATAGCTTTTTGAGGCTACCACCGGCCCCGGAATCAAGGTTGGCCCTTGAAATAGAAGTAAGACCGTCATAGAAGCTTTGTACAATGATCCATGATGTAAAACCATGGTGGGGGCATTGCCTTGTGTAATCTTTGAAACGCTCCCAAGCTTCACTCAATGTTTCATCAATGTCTTGATTGAAATTGGTGATCTTTCTTCTTAATTCGGCGGTCTTTTCCGGAGGACAATACTTTCCAAGAAAGGCTCTAGTGACTTCGTCCCATGTACTCAATGATCCCTCTTCAACCGTTCTCAACCAATGTTTTTCTTTATCACGGAGGGAGAATTGAAACATGTGCATACGGATGAACTCTTCCGAAATGTTGTTTTGCTTGATGGTTGTACACAACTCAAGAAAGTTGTCCAAATGAGCAAAAGGACACTCATGAGGACTACCTCCGAATTGATCGCTTTGAATCATACGGATGAGTTGAGGTGAAAGTTCAAAGTTGTTTGCATTTGTGGTGGGAAGACGTATGCCACTCCGAAGTTGAAATGCGTTGGGGTGGTCATAGTCTCTTAACAATGGTTGAGGAGGATTCTCTCCCATGTTATCTTCTTCGTTAGTTCCAAAAACCTCTTCCGGATCGGAATCCGAATATACAATGGAAAACTCGGGTGTGCCTTGCAAGAGTCTCCTCACGTTTCTCAAAGTCCTATTTAGCTCTGGATCAACGGGAATAAGCGGTGATTGCTTACTCTTTCGTGTCATGCAAAGTCAAACAAAGCTAAGAAAAACGTTAGCAATGACTATCACAAGTTAAACACACATAAACAAAAATTAAGGTAAGAAAACTACTATACATATACGCACATCTAGTCTCATTCAACAATAATACATTCAATGTGACTTTGCCTCCCCGGCAACGGCGCCAAAATTTGATAGGCCGTCGTCGAGCCTACCAAAGATAATAATTCCTATCTTGGTCTCACTAACAATAGTAAGGGTAAGAAAGAGTCGAACCCAAGAGAGGCGTTGAATCAACCACCGAGTACTACCGTTTAAATAAGCTAAATGAATTCTAAATTGGGTTGGTTTTGAGTAACTTCTTCTAATTCAATTCAACTAAAGCTAAGAGGAGATTAACAATATTAAGAGGAATCTAGGGCTTGGGTTATACCACTCAATTTCATCACAAATCACAATTAGCATGCAACAATCAAGGTAAATTAATGGGATAAATTAGGGGAAGTCATCTAAAGCACCCAACTACTCTCTCAAGCTAGAGGGATTACTTGAATCGTGAATACAACCTACTCTCGTGGTTACATAGCATAAAACAAGTGTTAAAGCATAATCACGATGACATAAACATTCCCTTGACCGGTAATCCCTATTCTCATGGCATTTCGGGTCAATTAAGCATAAGGGAGCTAACTCAAGTTCATCTCTCGATCCTTCGTTGAGAAAGCTTGGATAAATAGTTCTAGCAATGGCCATATACAAGAACTAAGCAATTAAACCACTTAAGCTCAACTAATCATCACCCCACAACAACCAAATTAGGACATGCAACAAGTAATTAGTGACTACATTGAGGGTTTTACCCAAACCCTAGAATTTAGACTACTCACAATCCATGGAGATTAAAGCAATTAAAGATTTTAAGCAATTCATGAACAAGTTCAAACTAAGGATTAAGCTAATTAGCAATCTAAACATGCAAGAACTAGCAAATAATTGACAACAAAGTAAAGAGAAGTAGAAAAGATGAGTAAGAAATGGTTACTATGAAGCTTCAAGGTGGGCAACAATGGTGGAACTTGTCTTCTACAATGGTTGAATTTTGAATATTTCAAAGCTAATAATTGAGAACTAACTAATGATTGCGAAATTAATGTTCTAAGACTACCAAACTAAGAGAAAGCTCTAAAAAACTGCATAATCCCTACAAATGAGCTCAAAGGGGGTATTTATAAGACCCCCAAATAAAAAGGACGGAGAAAACAAGAATCGGGCTTGACTGCAGGTCCGCACGGACGTGCCAGATTCGGCACGGACGTGCCAGATTCGGCACGGACGTGCAAGCATAAGCACGGTCGTGCCAGATTCGGCACGGACGTGCAGAGGGGGCAGAATTGAGGCAGAACGTACTGCTAAGAATCGAGCAGCTCCGCACGGACGTGCAGATGTTGGCACGGACGTGCAGCTACATCTGCACGGGCGTGCTTAATTTGGCACGTCCGTGCAGGCCTTGGCAGAATGTTCTAAGTTTCTGGAGCACTCCTGCACGGACGTGCAAGGTCTGGCACGGCCGTGCAGGGTCTTCTAAGCCCTTTTTTCCATCTTTTCTTCTATATTGCTCCTTTCCTTGGCTTCTTTTAACCATCTTCTTGCTTCTAACCTCGGCTTTGTATCCATGGGCTCCATTTGGTCGTTCTTTTGAACCTAGAATCTCAACAAAAACACCAACAACCCGTGAAGTATAGGATACACAAAAATTGCATAATAATAGAGTAAAAATGAACCAAAACGCAAATTTTATCAAGTAAACTAGGTTCAAAACACCCTAAAATCATATCAAATAGCAAGTTATCACCCGTTAACACTGTTTTACAACCAAAAATTTCCACAAAATGCTTTATATGATGATGATTGGAATAACTGTGAAAGATATATGCAATTTTTACAGTTATTATATAACATGACGTATTGTTTTTCTTCTGTTTACAATCCTTGTGCTCAAAACTTTCTTTCTAGTGCATGTTTACTCGCCCAACTTTTCGCTGATCATCGCAACCAAAGTGATTATGATCAGTATCTTCCAGCAATGGAAACAAAGTTGCGTAAATATTGCAGTGAAATTCCTTTGATTTATATTTTTGCTTCCATATTAGATCCTAGGCAAAAGTATGAAAACACATTTATGTTAGTTGACATTTACTTTCAATGCATGAATCTTGACGATGATGTAGAAACGTATAAGAGTATTGTGAAGGATCAGTTTTTTGCTTTATATGGAGTCTATGAAAGCAAATATGGCACCGCTCCTCGCTCAGGGCATTCCCAACCATCCAAAAAGTAAGTAAGAAGGCCAAACATTTATTTTCAAAAGCTACTAACTTGATTTCAAGGTTTTCAGGTGATTCATCAATCAGGAGAACGCAAAGCGACGTCTCGGAGTTGCAGATGTACCTGAGTTACGACTTCACCAAAGGCATGGACGACGATAAGATAAACAGCCTCGACCTCCTTGTATGGTGGAAACAACAAACCACGAAGCATCCAACTTTGGCGGCAATGGCACGAGACATTCTTGGTATCCAAGTCTCCTCTGTTGCCTCCGAACGAGCTTTCAGCGCATCCGGTAGGGTTCTGGACGATAAAAGAACAAGTCTAAAACCCGAAACACTAGAAATGTGCGTGTGTTTCAAAGATTGGTTGGATGCGGAAAATCGTTCACACGACCGTTCTTACGAGGACAACGACAACGATGAAGGAACCTCCGCTTCCGACCGTTCGGGTTCGGCTAGTTCCCAATCTATCCAACTAGCCGATGAAGCTGAAGCCGAAGCCGACGACGAAGACGAGCAAGAAGAAGAATAAACAATTTTTGTATATTGTACGATTTTAATCATTATCAATATTATCATTTTCCAATTTTTGTTTAATACCATTATTGTACGATTTTTATCATTATTATCATTGTAAAATTTTCTCAACTCAAGTAATAATAATATGAAGTACGCATTATTCACATCCAAAGTCCAATTTGCCTTTTTTCCCCGTTTTGTTATAATTTGTAAATCCATATTAAAATAAAATAAAATTATACCAATTACTAATACAAAATTATATTTAATAAATCATAAACATTAAATTTTAAAGTAATAGTATAAAGTAAATATATAAATATAAATATAGAATATACAAAATTATAAAACATAAATATTCAACTTATAATTATAAAACTTATAACTTTATAACCTTATAACTTATAAGTTATAACTTATAAAACTTATAATTATAATTTTATAACTTATATACATTATAATATAAGTTATAATGTTGTCACTTATTTTAAAAAAAAAAAAAAAAAAAAAAAAAAAAGCTGAAAACTGCCAGCCCGCCAGGCCAGCACGTGGCCGGCACGGCACGAGCCCGCCAGGCACGAGGGTCGTGCCAGGCCGTGGGCTGGCCTGTGAGAATGGCCGGCACGGCACAGCACGATTTCCTGGGCACGGCGGCACGACAGGCACGGCACGCCGGAGCACGTGGCCCGCCGGGCACGGCCCGCAACGGCACGGCCCGGCACGATGCCCAGGTTTAGGGATATATACACCGCCTGCTGGATTTGAAGCAAGAGGCAGAAACATTGAAATTTGAAAGGTAGTTCAGGTATTGAACAAATCATGTAAACCCAAGCAGTATCAGACAAGCAGTTGCGAAATTGCGTCTACAAATGTTCATCAGAAAGCTTGCTTTACTTTATGACATGATTGGATTCATCATACATGGAAGTCTTCCTGCTTGTCAAAATTAGCATAGGACCCCAGGAAATGTTTCATGGGAATGTATCATGTAGGTTTTGGCAATCAGCACAGGGGCTTTGATAAAGAACTTAGTCAATTTATAATCTCAGCATACGAATTCAACTAAGTGTTGGACAAAAGAGGAGCTTACTTGCACTCTCCGGTCTCCAATTATGTGTGTCTTGTTTCATTCAGTACCTGGTTACTGATAAGTGGTTTTTGCATCCTACTGCAAAGCTTTACAGCATTAGCGCTGTAAAAGAAAGAATAACAAGGAGACAAAGGCAGCAGATCAATTTTAATCTCCTTGTTTCAAAGCATCAAAAAGGAAAGTTTTGTTGCTCTCTTTGATGTTATACACCGCCACACCGAGTAACAGGTATAGCGAATTCTATGATCAAGCAAGTTACTGCAGGTGATGAAACCATTTCACCAAAAAGAAAAAAATGCTGTGCATGGCCTTTCTAATGTCATCTCTTTCTCATAAATTAACACTAAGTACTTTACAAAATTTCAATCAGCACTATGACTTTGAGCTACCTGTGCTTAATCTCTTATAAATATCATTAAGAAAGGGATTTCAACCCATAGAGACCACCTAACTTTAAGAGTCAGATGAATAAATAGCTATTCCCAATTTCAATCAATTTGTAGACGTGGTTTGTTTTCCTAAGTAAATGTGAGATGTTAGAGAAGAATATACATTACACCGTAGATACACTAAGTTGGCCATCCACCTCATTATCTTGACATTGCTTGAGAAGAATTAGCTGACGTCGCAAGTGCAATACCTAACATACCAGATAGCAAGGATGAGATTCTTTATTAACTGAAGCAATTATACTTGCAAAGAACAGGTAAAAAGGGTAGCTGGTCTTTTTCAAGAATTTACCTTCATTTCAAATTAATAGGCTATATTAGAATTCTGTTAGAAAAACTCATTAATTTTGATCACTATTGAATACATCATGAATGGAGTAAAAACGTAAAGGTCATCGATACAATTATCAGAAAAATGTGTTCATAAGATTGTTATTAATTTACACTCTATAGTTTTTACTATAAAATACTGCAGTCACAATTGACATGGTTTTCACCATAAAAATCAGATGTTGCGCAGGGGTGGAATTGCACAAAAATTGAGGATATGGGTTTGGAGACATTTGTATTTACATATAGGATGTCTCCATCTCACTTTGATTGCTGTATAAACAGATTTGGAGATGCGTCTCCAGACTATGTGAGACTGACCATAAAAACATGAAGTTAGAAAAATTGCTACGAGCCTAGGATAACACTTCAATGTTGACCTTCATAGTATGAGAAGACACATATAATACCAGCACTCCAATGATTATTGGTGAATCAAATGGTTGCTCACATGACTCATCATAAAGGAAAGTAGTAGAATTCAAAGATTATATTTCTTACCTCCTCCTTGAGTAAAGTGGGAAGATGTTCAGTAGAAACCAAGCTTGTCAATTCTTGGACAAGCATTTCATCCTTGATACCAGACCACGTTTGCATAGGTAGTGCAAGCAAAAGTACAGTTAGAACATCATTTCCAGCAGGGTGCATTCCAGAACAATTTGGGTCAGAGCAGCAATTGGATTGTTGTTGAGTTACAGGGACCAAAATTTGCAATCCTTGCTTACTTGCACCATCCTTTACTGTTCCCGAGACAAGAGTCACAGGCTTGCCACCATCACCCCTTATCTGTTTCACACATGTTTTCTCACAACAAAATCCACCAGAAGATCCAGGCTGACCAGTTAAAAGCTCTGCTCCCTCACAACAAACAGCCGCTGCAACATCAGATAAACTGTGCTCATGACCCAACATGGCACTTTTTCTGGAACACATATATACCGAGGATAGAAATTTAGTCACTTGCTTATATAGACCAGTATCGTGAACTTGTTTGAGTAGCTCTTCCTGCAAAAGGAATTTTCAGGTCTGCGGTAATGCAACATGAAATACAAACTGGGATGTAATTAACTTTTAAAGCTGCGGCTACAAAGTACAAACCTTCAGCAAATGCCTTCTCATTTCCTCCTGGCTTAGACTTTGACCATCGTCTTCATGCCTTCGAACTTCAGCTACCCACTTAATAAAGTCCCTAAAGTTTGAAGGTAAAGACATGCAAACAGCAGAGATGGCACTCTTTATGTCCTTCACATTCTCTAACTTTAAGAGAAGAGGTACATCCTCCATTAAGTACTTCGCTATACTAGCCCTGTTTTCATGCTTACAACTCTACAAAGAGATAATCTGAGTAAAATTTCTATTCTGGCAAAAGATATGATAAAAGTATTAAATTATATGCAGTGTCACAATACATCTGGAATTTGTGATAAACAAAATCTGTAAGAAAACTGTACTTCACACTAGCCAGAGTTCTAGAAAGAGGTATCAATAATTAGTGTCGCTACTTTTTACACGTTTCACAGAAGATTAATGATACTTTAAGCAACAATGTCACATAGCTTTTTATCGAAGTGGTTGTTTAAGAGGGCATGAATGTAATGTCTAATAAGCTTGTAAGAAGATTACATTTAAACAACTTGTAATACTAGAGCGTCATAAAGGAATTCTCCAGTCATTTCTTAGTCAGATGTCCTCTAAAACTCTTGCATATTGTAAAGTTTATATCAGTAATGTGTGGTGTTTTCTAAGAACAAGACATGAAATTAGTGCTAAAAAAGTGTAATAATCCAAAACAAACTATCATTCAGCAGATCAGACATGGAAAGACAAAGGGGCACATAACATTAAACAGCATTAAGCCATTAACTATCAGGGAAACCAAAAAAAATACCACACATGGTCTACAAACCCCACTTACACAGTATAGTATTTCTGGTCAATTGTCTCTATACCGGACCTAACAATCTCATGTTGACAGACTTCCTTCTCTTCCTTTTATTCAGGGACAAATGGTATAAAAGATTTATTAGCACAGAGCTAATTTGTTATATCCTAGTGCTTAATATTGTTAGCTTAGACCATCATACGCATAATATCAGAAGACAATTTTTCAACATAATTCTGGGAAAAAAGAGAGCTTTCCTATAAATCATCTTTCATAAAAAATACTCACTGATGTGAATATAGGAATCACGAAGTCAAAATCCATGGTTCATAGTGACATACGCAGCCAGCATATCATACCAAGGTATAAAGAAGTCCTGGCTCATGCTGTTGTCTTGATATGAGTACATACCTGGAAGACAGACACTTCAATAGTTAGAAGAAAAGGTTACTCAAGGGTTAGGGGATGAAAAAAGACAAATGCGCCAAAGTACATCTCGATAATTATTTTTTAAAAAAAAAAAATCTGTTGAAAAATGACTTTGTTGGTAGATGAAACATTATTATCCTCCATATCAAATGATTAAGATGCATGTAAAATTAGTGAAGGATTTGATACGGAGGATGGCGATGTATCATATACCAACAAAATTTCAGGAGGAAATCCAACATGAACAATAGGCAGTGCAATTTCCAGTCAATTATCTCTAGCTTTCTTTCCCAAATCAAGTATTAGAATAACCTCAAATTGGTTTGCCCCTTACAAACTACCCAGCATAGGGGTCTTATTTCCTAGGTCATTAACCTAGCCTACTCATATATGTTGTATTTTTTCAAGATCAATAAAAAACACTCTCTGCATGTGCTCATAGCTAACACATTTTTATTGAACCACGTAAATCTGTGTGTATTGTGAGTCTTCTTTGTCAGTCCTTTGCATCTGTTACAACATCAAAATTGGACACTAGCAATACAAAACCAGCAACATTCATTAAATTTGCAGCTTAAATTTCATAAGCCTATTTTTATGTTAATAGTGGCTTTTTAACATTATCAATGTCTATATTGAAGAGGGATCAACAGCCTTAAAGTCTCCTACTATATAGTCAATAAGAATACATTAATGGATCTTATTGTAGAATGTCATACATTGATCAGTCTCAATGTATATGATTTATTCTAACAAACAATCTAGTGCACATATTGTTCACCTTTGTAGGTTATTTCCACTATTTTCTATTTTCTTAATATTTTCATTTCCTTTCTTACTTTTGTCCATTCCTTTATCTTTCTTTTTTATTTTATTTTTTTTTTATTTTTTTTTTTTGGGGGGGGGGGGGAGGGGGGGCGCAAGTAATCAGCTCAGTAGCCAGATTCTCCGCGATCCCAGCCACCAACCGCAACCACTATGAGATGATAGGTGATTAAAAAGTTAATCAGAGAGTAACCAAAGGCACCATCCAGGTAAAAGAAGCATGAGTATAAAACTAAGGGTGTGTTCTTTTCAACTCAAATTTACTCAATGAAGTTCTTTGAACTTATTGGAACTCATCTTAACTAATCTGGACGTAAACTTTGGCAGCCCTTTTTGGAATTTATATGAACTTTATTGGCCCTCATCTGAAATAATTTCATCCATAGTCAGTTTTTTAAGGTAAAAAGAACAGAGCCTAAATTATAGACAAAATCAACGCTACCTTATCTGTGGAAAGCAGAATGAGTACAAGAATGCAATCTTTTAATCAATAATCTAATCTGAAAGTTTTAGCACTGTAACAAAAATAATGATTTATATTGGATCATATTTTGAGGGGGGGGGGGTGGAGAGTAGGGTACAAAGTATTTGATAAACAAGTAGATTGGGGGGGAAGGGGGAAGCACAGACAAATTCCTACCCTCTACGTTGGCCACTTGCTTCAACCACCGTATCCATGGCTTCCCAAAGAAGAGATAAAGGGACCCAATGAGGGGGGTACTTAAAACGTGCAACATCCAGAATCAGTGCCATGTCCCTTCCACCATGATAACCACCAATAGGAGAGAAGTGACCAGTTCCTGTCTGAGATTGTTGCACAGAGTAGTATGATCAATTACAATTTATACATTAGAGAAAAAGGAACACAGAAATATGTAGAAGTCCTATCGTATATTCATATACTACCTTTGTTTCTTATTATTTGCAACAAAGGAATGTATTATGTCTCACGTATAATATCCCTTTGTTGCAAATAATAAGAAACGGACGTAGTATAAAGAAAAGAAGAATACATAAATAAAAAAAATCCTACTTCATTGCTATGCTGACATAGTGACATAAACCAATTCAGAAAGTAAAAAACTGAAAATTGGTAAGAAAAACTAGAGGCTGTACTTCTTACTGTGTATGCCATTGAGCTAATTTTAAATACTTGGTTTTTACTTCGTTTCTTATGCTTCTTTTATTTATATTTTTCCTAATTTGTGATGATCAGTTTGTTACAAGATTAGTTTATATTACAGAAGATTTCAGAAGTAGATAGGCGTTCTTCTCTTTTAGGGGAGGATTAAGAGTTGGCTATCAAGATCATCCCTAGAAAGCCATGCAATGTTGAAAGACATCTTTCACAACAATTAAATAAAAAATTTCATAATAATCATCTAGAGACATTAAGTCAGATAGACGCAAAAAAGAAAATAACAACTCCTTGGTATGAATCCTGCACCAATAGCAAAACTTGCCACAAGCCATCAATAATTGAAAAAGATGTAGAGAAGCACACTTTGAGTTTATTAATACCTGTTTGAAAATCCCCCTATGGTAGGATGAGATGACATGACACTCATCTGAGATGGAGCATGCCTTGACGTAATTTCTAAACTCACTAATTGAACTCTCACTTGTACGAAAAGCTTGAACATTTGCGCCAGCGCACTGAGCCAGACAAGTGAGTTTCCCAAAGGGAATCCCTTTAGATTTAACTTTTTCTAGAGGCTCACAACAGTCTAGCATTGATTCATCAAACCACCTCCATGGTCCTATAGAAAAAAAGAAGAAAAAAAAAGATTTGGAAGTTAATAATAAGAAGTGAAAAGTTTAAATGTCAAAGCTTCATTAACTTTTAGAAAATATATGACTTCCTTATGTTGAATTCTATGACTGACAATCTATCTTTTTGTTTGATATTTATATTAAATAAAAGGAAATGAAAAGCATATTTTCTTTCTATCCAAACTTTCATCCAAAATTATGGGGAGACACATGAGTTCATAACAATATCATACCTCATTACATATTACTGAAGCATATTTATAAGTTAGAACAACAGAGAAACTAAAGAAAAAATATCATGTAGTAGTAACTTTGGTTCAGCTTCTACAACTGTGCCCATTTCTAAATAACAAGCCACGTATTTATATCAAGACATCCCAAAATAATACAGATCAGGCCACTGATTTTGTAAGTTGAATTTAATAATTTTCTCATAATACCCATGAATAGATATTTCAAAGATAGACATCATGAGTATAATTGGGAGCTTCAAAGCGTGAAGGATTACCATATTCAAATCCTTAAAACTGGCCCTAGATCAAATGTGGCCTGATTAGAGACATTCCACATTTACATCCGATTTTAAGACCTCCTTCAGAGTTCCAATTTCCATATTTCACATTTATGCTTCTCATACAGACCTTATGTATTAATTCTAAGATTGTCTGATACCATAAATCTATTATCTATCTGACTTTGAAACGTTCAGCTTACTTTAAGGAATGTATTCATTTCTGATCTCCTATTGACTTTTTACCCCTGCTAACATTGATTTCAGTATTTCACAGTCCATATCAGCCAACAGCCACTTAATCTTACATAATATAATAGTACTTCTCAGCAGCTCGTCTTCTCCATTTAAACAAGTTATCTGACATAATTATCTGACTTCCTACCTCTCACCAGATCTTCCTTCTTTTGTCAATACCTTCAAGTCCTGCTGATAGCCAATGTGATGACATATATTCAAACTGCAGCTCTATAATCCTCAATCCGCAATCAAAAGAAAGTTTAAACAAATAACCTTTTCCTTCCCTTGTGGGCTAATGTACCCTTATAAGATGTTGCCTTCAACCATGTTTCAGCTTTCAAAAATTCTAAAGCATATTTGTACTCGCCACGAATAACAAAAACATGAAAACTTAAAGTTGAACAATAACTACAAAGCAACTACAAAGTCATAGAGGGAACGGGGGTGGTAGAAAATGTATCCAATATAAGTTTAAGCAAATATACAAATTGTAATGCTCGTGATAGTTTTGAACCTTTCCAAGTCCTCCCAGGATCGATAGCCAACGCATTTAAGACCATCGAAAGGCTAGCTAATCCACAATAAGCAGGCTCGGACTGCGTTTGGAAGTAAGAAATCAATTTGAAAAAACCTTCCATTGTTCCATCTTGAACAGCTTCTATGAAAAGTTTCTGCATTACCATATAAACGGACAAGCTGAATATACAAAGGCCAAAAAATTCTATCAACATTCTATTTTCACAATCATATCCACTCGAGAAACCTCATCTCCTCTCATGAAACTTCAAAGTGACATCTAACACGACGAAACAGCGAAAATTTAAAGAAAGGCAAGCCTTTGTTTCTAATTATGCACTTCAAGCCATAAAAGAAAATCTTTAAAACAATTCCTTCAAATTTTCTGAACTCACAGCATAAAAGAATTGCAAAAAGTTAATTAAACTAACACATAGACTCCAATTTCAGGCACAAAAGGCTTCAATCACAGGATCATGACCCATTGAATTGACGAAAAGTAAGAATTGTATAAGAATCAAGTATCAATTTAGCCAAATTAAACGCAATTTAACTGTGATTGTAACTAAAAAAATTACTAAAGATGAGAATTTTGAAGATGAAATATTCAGCACAGAATTTGTGAAAACCCTAACCTTGCCTTCAGTAGAAGCAAAATCAATGGCAGGAGGAGATGGAAGAACACGACGATATAATCCAGCCGTCGCCATTGTTGTTGCTTGTGAATTCTCTCTCTGTCTCTCTTCCTCCCTAGTTAGGGTTTAAGAAAGATCCCCGCCAAATCTTTTTTTTCGAAAAATACTGGCTTTTTTTTTCCAAAAATTTCAGAATTTAACCATTCTTACATTGCTTACTTTTAGTTACTTACCAATTTACCATACAATCTTTTTCGCAATTCCGGAAATTTATAGGGTTTTTGAAGAAAATAATTAATTAACATAGATTCCCCTTTCCCTTTTTAAGTTAAATTAAAAGGTAATTAATTGCGTCATGTAAGATATACAACGGTTGCATTGGATATTTTTGTGTCACATACGTCTTATTTGCCAATTAGCCTTTAGCTGTTACTCCATAGTTGTTTGCATTGACTTTTTTGACTAGCTGATTATAATCAGTTGTTTGTGTAATAGTGTTTGATAGTAGTTATTAGCTGTTTTAGTGTATAAAGCACAAAAAAACTATTTTTTTTTTCTCTTTCAGAACAACTCTTAACCAAATACCACAAAGAGTTTTTTTAAATGATCAAACAACTCTTTTAACTCCAAAAAACTCTTTTGCCCCAAAAATATCCCTAACTAAACGCTCCATAATCTTAGTTTAAGACAAGATAAGAAATCCCTAACTAAACGCCCCATAGTCTTAGTTTATGACAAATTGATAAGATACGAATCATGAGTTGATTGATTACTTTTTTACGTTAAATGTTAATTATGTACTTAAAAAAAAATTGAAAAATGGCCATGAGGCTTTTGAATCAATACAAATTCATGTGAGATATAATTTAGGTTGATGTGTTGTAGGAAGGCAAAGTTGCTAAGTGCAAACTCTGAAATAGCTCACATTATTCCAACTCGCTACCATCATATTTAGATTGTGGGACTTGATCCCAATCATTACAAGATGATTGGTTCTTCTTGAGAATTATAATTTATTTAATACATGGATGCTTTGTTGAGTTCAAAGTTATTAAAATCGGGATTCGATTTTGAATTAGAAGGGGCTCTCAGAATCGAATCGTGGAATCATAAGATTCTACCGACATGCATAATCAAGACGTCATTTCTATATTTAATTAAATTTATTTAAATTATGAGTTTGAAACCTAATTATGGATATAAAATAGTTGTTTACCCATTAAGCAACCAATAATTGACAATATATATTTATAAATAACAATATAGGCATGTTTTAAACTTGTAAGGATTTCGCTAGTTAAGAGAATTGTGTAAAATCGGGTAGAATCGTAAATCGAATCGTGTAATATACATGAATCGTAAAATTGTAAGATTCTAAGATTTAAATCGAGAATTTAATAACAATGTGAGTTACTTTGTTTCAAATTGAAATGATGTTTTTTTATAAACGTTTAGCAATAGTAGTTTCTAAAAGAAAAAATACATAGTAAAAAATTTATTAAAAAAAAATACAAAGTAACACAAACTAATACAATGACAGCTATGGAAATCAAAAGTATGATCTTACTCTCTATGCTCAAAGCTATGGAAATCAAAAGTAAGAAACTAAGAATTGAAATTGGATTAGGTTACCTTATCAACACTTTCTACTCCGTATGAGATGACTCTACAAAATACAAAATGGAGTCACTGACTAAAGGGTTTTCGTTAGGTTCGTTTTTAACTGGAATTGATTGGTATATAATCTCATATTTGAAAGGTATTTAAATATCCCATATTAATTAAACTGAAGTTTACTGTTTGATTTTATTGTTATAATTGTTTCTAAATTTTACGGAGTATTAATGAAATTTTTTGTGGATCTTGGGGGTGAAGTGGGTATAAATTTTAGGAGGATAGAGTAGAAATAAAATACTTTCTATACATGGTTTCATAGTTCAAAATAAACAAAAACCTAATTTAATATTAAAATTAACTCTAATTTCATTTCAACCCATTCCATATAAAACGAACCCTAACTACTGACTTAATCACTGATGATGTTGAATTGTCGAAATTATCATTTTTCATCACGCTAACGTCATAATACGTTTGGTCGGATTTGATGTATAACATGTTGCATGAAACCGTCTCATTATTTTAAAAAAGAAGATTAGTAGCTTGCTTAGAGCCCTTAAATAACATTATACCAACCTAAACTCCATAGTTTACCCATACGCAACGAGAACTTTTATTTTATATACATCTGGATGTATGTAAAGGTAAGCGCGTCACAAGGCGTTTATTTGATCATTTGATATAATTTTGCTCATTTTAGATTTTAAAATGAGCAAAAAAATATATAAAATGAGCAAAATACACTTTAATACACCTTACACTCGGGTGTATATTACAATTTTCAAATATGTAACAAGGCACAAGCCAAAAGTAGTGAGCAAAGTAAGATCCATTCTAATTTCCAAAGGATACCTAACTAGCATCATTTATTAAAGTCTCACATCTTCACCACAGAAAAATAGCACCCAAACCATGTAACACTAAACCAAGCTAATTTGCAGAACAACAGCTCTGAGTCCAGTAACTTTTTACAAAAACAAAATACGGAGTAATTAAATTTACTCCATTTAATTAAATATGGTAAAAAATACAAAAATAGAGAAAATAACCAAAAATTACCCGCAGAAGGTAAGACACTGTAAGTCTGTAACCAGTACTCATAACATCCTCATTATTATTCTCTTTTCCACTTTAGTTGATTACTTCCAACATTCACCAAAAAGTTAAAAATAAAATCAGAATTCCCACCAAAATATATACAATAAATAAAATTATAACAGTAAATTATTAAATAAAAATTCCTGAGAATGGGCCCCACTAACCTTGTTTGGTTGGTGAGAATTTTTTTTCAAGTTTTATGTAAAATTGAGAAATTCCAAAGTCACATGCTGTTGAGATTTGGATTAAAAAACAAAAACAGATATCTTTGCCAAAGTGTACGTTGAGATTTTTTTAAACCAGGTGGATAATCAATGAATGAATTACACGTGTTAAAATACATTTTTTTTTCATTGTATTTTCTGTATTTTATTATTTGTGTGTGTGTGTATGTAGTTTGGTCGCTTTCAAGGAGAATAGACAGAGTGACAAACCGGCGGCGATGGAAGTTTTGTGATTGGGGTTAAAGGTGTTGCCTTTTCTTCTATCATAAGGTTGTCTCTCAATATGGTTAATACTTAATATAATAATATAAATATGGTCCTGTTTTTAAATAATTGTACCATTCCTTTTTTTTAACGTATGGTATTACTGTATTAGTAATGTATGGTATTAGTAAGATTTTGTTAAATTATCTCAATATACTTTCTCTATTTTATTTTACGGAGTAGTTGATAAGTTTTGACTTTTAACACTATTTACAATCTCTATTTTGATTAGCTTTTGTAATTTTATAGCGTGGTAAAATATACAAGTCAAGTAAAATCTTATTTAAATTGTTTAGATAACTAACTTTTATTCGGAGTACTTTTTACTTATTAAGGATAATTACAGAGTATTAATAGTTGAACGTGTGTGTTAACAAATGTGATAAAAGGCACGTGTCAACTAAAAATATATGGAGGAAGTATATTTTTTAGAGTCAAATTAATACATTATTGGAACACATCAAATGCAAATCTTTGGTAGACTACGTAAAATGATCTTCTCAACTGATTTAAAACATTTCATAGGTCAACTCGGCCCGAGTTAACCATGGAAATTATACCCCTAAACCTCAAGATTTGAAATTGCGGTTATTTCACCAAATAATCCTGAGTAATTTGCTTATTCACAATATACCCATGAAACTTTCCAAATACACCATATACCTCCGAGTTTAACAAAAATGCCCCATATACCTAAATGACTAACGGACGTCAACTCCATTAGCCATTAAGGGTTAATTGTGCCACGTGGCATCTCTTGATTAGTTATATTTTTAATTTATTTAATTAATTATTTAAAAAATAAAAAAAATCAAAATATTTTTTTTTTTTTAAAAAAAACAGCCCAGCCACCGCCGCCTCCCATGAACCCCACACTGACACCGACGCTAGCACAAATCCCACGTGTTGGCGTTAGCCCGACCCCGACCCCTTGAAACCGGCCCAAACCACCATCCCCACAACACCTAAAACCCCTCCCTCCCCACCTGTCGGCGCTCCAAAACCCCATCCCCCTTACCGGCAAACGCAATTCGCCCCTCCCCCTACCATCTCCGCCCCTTTCCCCAACTTCATCGCCGCCAACTGTCGAAAATCACCACCCCGAAACCCTAATTTTGGTTTTAAGGTCTCGATTTTGGTTTTAATAAGGTTT